GTTCCATGAGTCCTGGAAACGTTCCATGAGTCCTGGAAACGTTCCATGAGTCCTGGAAACGTTCCATGAGTCCTGGAATCGTTCCATGAGTCCTGGAAACGTTTGGGAAGCGATGCATGATGCAAACGCTGACAGACCGCCATCAGAAAACCAAAAGTAACACGGCAACCGTGACCCGTCTGCAGATAGAGCGTCAGAACCGTGACCCGTCTATGATGATGGAGAGATGATCACCTGGTCAGATAGACCTTCCTGCTCAGCTTTGCTCTAAGTAAACCACAGCAGAATCTCCTAGATGTTACTAAACTGTTAGTTGGTCCAGGAGGGACTTTATGTCCAGTTTTTCCGTTTCTGTCTTTTAATCATCAGATTGAACTGAACCCCTTCCAGGAGGTCATCCCGTTGGTTTGGGGACGTTAACTGGTTCTACTGGGACACGTACGGCTCTGCTAGGAACGAGTCATCAGAGGATGGAGTCCACTGCTGTTCAAGCTTCTGGCAGAAAGCAAAACAAAAGCCTGAAACTCCTACAGTGGAGGACTGGGTCGGTTTGGTTCAGGACACTGAGACTCTGGAGAAGTTCTCCTTTTCTGTTCAAGGTGGACGGCGATCATTCTTCAGGATCTGGTCTAAATGGACAAACTGTGAAATATTCCCTGTGGATAAATTTCACAGGTAAACACTGTAGTGCTGTGAATCGTACCTTTGCTCAGGAAGATGCAACATGATGTTTCTGACTGAGCTTTTCCCCTAAAAAAAGTAGATCCATCCCAGCATCTCCAGCAGCTGTACTCACTGTTCTCTCTGACCAGGCAGAACTCCAGCGTGTTCTGGCTCTCCAGAGAAGACTCCAGGTCCACGGCAACGTTTGGCTCCATCTGCTTCTCCAGACGATACAGAGGACCTGGTGGAGAGTCATGGAGACACTTTCACTGCCAGTCCTCATTTCCCTTCAGAACCAGAATCCACTGAATGGACCAAAGGGAAGGAAGAGCTGGAGGCTCGGCACCATTACCTGCTCCTTTCTGGGAACCTTTCCTCTTCTTCAGGGCCTTCTGAAGAATCTCCTTCATGGTGACCTTCAGACTGTCCACAGGAATTAAAGAGAAGCCATGAGCAGCGTTTCTAGGAGGAAGAAGGAAGAGCGGTCAGACGGTTGGTCCTGTTGGACCAGCACCAGTGCTCCCAGTCTGCTGCACTCACATCCTGACAAACAGGGACTGCCTGGAGGTCAGTCCAGGGGAGGAGTACTTCTCCACCAGAGCCAGAGTGCTGAAGCCGAACTTGTGGATGGGCTCGTTAGAGTCCAGCGGAGGGAAGTCTGTGTCCACCTCGCCATCGTCCTCTGCGATGTGGAGGCAGTAGGCGTCCACGTTCTCACTGCGGAGCGAGCAGAGTCAGAGGGGCAGCAGCAGAGAGACGGCTCTGATCGCTTCACACTCACTTCAGTTTGGGTTCTCGGCCCTCGCCAGTGTACTGCCAGCAGATGAGGCCGATGAGGTCATGAACCCGAGCGTTGGCGATGGTCACCACCGTCATGGGGTGCAGCTTCTCCTGAGCCATCTGCATGGAGAGGTAGACGTCTATCTTCTTGGTGGCCGTCGTACCGATGTGACCCTGCAAAAGCAGACAGGAAACGTGTGACGGACAGACGGACGCCCAAATCCCAACATAATCCCGCCTCTGCGGGCTGCAGAGCGGCTGCTGAGTGACGGCAAGTTAAAATAAAGTTATATTCACTCTGGGTCTGCTCGTACCATGAACCTGTCTCAGTCCGGGGCGTCTTGAAAAAACTAAATTTACTATAAATGAGCGTTTATAGCTTTGATCCAGAGTTAAACTCCACAGATTAGAAAATAGAACGGATTATTTAGAAAGAACAGATTATTGCTGAAATAAAACAGAAACAGTTTATAAATCCCATCATTAACTGATAAAACCTGCTGATGGAAGATATTGGATTATTTATTCTGATTCTTCTTTTACCACAAACCTTAAAAACTTTCTATTCACTTCCAGCCCTACGAGCAGCAGCTGACGGGGCGTGCTGCTCTGACGGGGCGTGCCGCTCTGACGGGGCGTGCCGCTCTGACGGGGCATGCTGCTCTGACGGGGCGTGCCGCTCTGACGGGGCGTGCCGCTCTGACGGGGCGTGCCGCTCTGACGGAGTATGCCGCTCTGACGGGGCGTGCCGCTCTGGCGGGGCGTGCCGCTCTGGCGGGGCGTGCCGCTCTGACGGGGCGTGCCGCTCTGACGGGGCGTGCCGCTCTGACGGAGTATGCCGCTCTGACGGGGCGTGCCGCTCTGACGGGGCGTGCCGCTCTGGCGGGGCGTGCCGCTCTGACGGGGCGTGCCGCTCTGACGGGGTATGCCGCTATGATGGGGTATGCCGCTCTGACGGAGTATGCCGCTCTGACGGGGCGTGCCGCTCTGACGGGGTATGCCGCTATGATGGGGTATGCTGCTCTGACGGGGTATGCTGATCTGACAGAACAGCGGCGGTGATGATGCTGGGGGTCTGGAGCTCCCAACAACAACTGCAGATTTTAGTGGGATTATAATCCTGATGAACTGAGGGTGTTTGGAGGTGGACTTTCTCACTTAGAAACTATTTTTCCAAAGTAAATAAAGCTGAACTGTTTTAGCTTGGAGCTCCAGAACAGAGCAGATAAACAACCGGAGCGCGAAGCATCAGAACAGCACGACCACAGTTTGATCCGGCGTCCATTTTTCTACGTTTAAAGGTTTTTTAACCTTTGATGTGAACGCAGCATAGGAGTAGCATGGGAGAACGATGGCCGACAGAGCAGCCAGCCGACCAATCAAGTTAGATCCGCCTGATTCAGATCATTTCCACCTGCAGCTCCAGTTGAACTGTGAGCTGCTGGTCTGGAGGCGACCGCAGGAAGTCAGGTGGTCGGTGGTTACTGGGGTATTAAATGTAAAGTCAGCTATATGGTTCAATCTCATCATATTTTCATTTATTAAACCAGTTAAAATGCTTTTATGTCATCATGAGGTGCAGTTGTGACCACAGGGTTCAACTTTTAAACATCTTAGAGGTAATAAAACCTCAGTTCTCTAAGGAAGCATTTCCTTCCCGTCATAAATAATACCAACAATATCAGATTTATTGCTAATCAATAGAATCAGGTGTGATTGGCTTCACTATATTCTCCATTAAACACAAATATCCCTCAATAATAATAAACCAACATGGTGCCATGTGTTCTTTCACCTTAAAGCCAGACGATTCTTTAAAGTCATTTCATTGCTTTAAGTAAAAAAAAAAGATTATAACAAAAATCTATTTCTGATCTTTCATATGAAGGAAAAAGTTTGTTGTCTGTTTGTTACATAATTTTTCTCAAATTTCAGAAACCCATTTAAGATGCGTTTTCTTTCTTCTTTTTAAAACCTAAAGTTAGAAATAAACATTGGTTATTATTCAAAGACGAGATGGGCTGCAGTGAAGAAGGTCTGCAGACTGGTCTGCACTGGTTAGCTGGCGTCCTGTAGGACCCGTTCTGACCAGCAGGGGGAGCTGAGCTTACCTTGCCATCAAATTTAGAGTACTCGTTGAAGGGATTGTTGAGCTGCTGAGGACACTGCTCCAGGCGCAGCGATAAGGTGGACTTGGCCCCCGCCGCCCTCGGCCGGTCTTTGTAGTCGCGTTTCTCAAACAGAGAGCCCAGATCCTCCGCTGGAAACAAACGAACACGTCATTCAGTTGATTCCGTTAATACCTGCGGCGTGATGCTGCAGAGCCTCAGACTGAGCAGGAAGCTCTGCCTCTGAAAGCAGCGGCCGCCGCCTCGCTTCGTCCCTCAGGCTTCTTAAGGTCGGAGGTGGTTTCCATGGTGATCTCCTCCAGCCCTGCAGGGAGTTTGGGCACTCTGCATTCCAGACGCAGCATTTACACCCTGGACCGCATCATCAAGTAGGAGGAGCTTAAGCAGCGTGGAGCTGATGTGGAGACCTTCAGACTGAATGTCTGGAGCTTCATTAGAGCAGCTCTTTGATGTTAAAGGTCATTTCTACGTTGCCATAGCTACAGGCAGGATTAGGGATTACTTAGACCTGGCGAGGAGCTGTCATGGCTGACAGACGCCCTGACCCCTCCATCACCTTATAAGGAACTCTGTTAACTCACAGAAGATCCCTGCTAACCCCAGATGGCGCTAACCCCGCACACTGCCTCCGCCATCTTTGTTCTTTAACGCTGCCACGACAAATCCCATGATGCTTTGCGAGGAGAATTCTCACAAAGCATCATGGGATATATCTGCTTGTCTGGCCACCATGGAATCAGTGGCGCCTCCAGAAATGTTTCATTGGGGGGCAGATGGGGCCCCTAAAATCTTGGAGTGGCCACTGAAGTTAAAAGCCATAATATCAGCGTTTGATTCTACTATAGTGGTGAAATCAGAACGATTCATTAACACCTCCTCAGATCCTGGTTAACAGTGAGATTTCTAATGTGACGTCGGTGGAGAGGCCAGTGGGGAGGCC